CCCTCAGCCTCCTGGTGACTCATGGCTCTGAGTCATTCAGTGGCACCACAGAGGAAACTTCTTAGGAAAAACAATCCCAGACAAAGCTTTCCCTGATCTGGGGAACAGAATAGGCCCAGGGGGCTGAGAGAGGGAGAACACAGGGTGGAGCTGGACCTGGCCTCTCCTCTTGGCCACTAACTTGTGTGGGGCCCTAGATAAGGAGCTTCCCCACTCTGAGCCACAGTTTCTCTTCCTGTAAATAACACTTCCTCTTGCCCACAGAAGCTCATGATGGACCAGGCAACATGATAAGTACTTCATAAGCACTGTCTTTTTCAATCCTCTCCACAACCCGTGGCCGGCATCATCTCATTTTATAGATGGGGAAACTGAGGCTCAGAGAGGAGCAGCCCAAGGTTACACGGTAAGGAAGTGCAGAGCAGCATTTGAATCCAGGGCCACATGACTCTCAAGTTTGACTCTCACTCCTACAGACCTTGCATTAAGACCTGCTGCACAGAGTGGCGTGCAGATCAGATCTCATCGGACATGGGAGGGGAATGGCCACTGCAGGTGACAGTCAGAAGCCTTTCTCCTTTCTTTCTTCCTCTGTTGTCAGGCCCAGCCTTGGGACTTCCAGCCCAGTGGGGAGAATACACGTGCACACGGTAGTCATGCGAGCGGCTGTGGGAGCACAAAGTAACAAGTACCCACAGCCTGCCAGAGCCACAGAGGAGGAGCACTTGAGCAGAGCCTGGAAGGAGGGACAGAGGCTTGTCTCAGGGGAGGTGGGAACCGGCAGCCAGGTGAGGGAATGGCAGAAGCAAACCACACAGGGAAACGTGAACACTGGGAGAGGTGTGGCTGAGGTCAAGACAGTGGATATGGGATGGGGAGAGACAGAGGCAAGGGGCCTGACTGCTCCTGAGTTCCAGCCTGGCCTGAGGCTGTGCAGGATTTTTAAGCAGGGAGAGAACAGGATCGGAACCGGTTTCATCTCTGCAGAGGGCCTGGCTGGCTGAGCTGGGAGTCAGGAGTGGGGACCCCCCCTCAGGCCTCCCCAGCCTCTCCTCTGAGCAGGCTTCAGGGACCACCCCCGATCCCTTGCTACTCACCCAAGGGTCACAATTGCCCCCACAGGCTTCTTCCTCAGCCATCTCTGGGCTGGGCAGAGGGAGCGTGGTCCCTTCCTGATGCAGGCCAACTTAATCATATCAGGCTATAAATAGGACCCTGTGGTTTAGTCTGAAATAGCTGTGCCAGGCTCAGCTCCACAGGCGTCGCAGGCATGCACAGTTCTGGAAATGGTCCTTCTCCTCGACACAATTAAAAACCAAAACTTCCTCAGGAACTCGTTCACGCTCTGCTTCGAGTTCTTGAGCATGAAGCAGTGGATTTGGAAGAGCTCCTCCTGCCTCCTGCTGTGTACTGGAAGTTGTGCCTGGGGTCCCTTTCCTGCTTCTCACCCTCTGAGGACCCTGGGCAAGGCACTACCTCTCTCTGGGCCTCAGTTTCCCCAATGTAAACTAGGGAAGTTGGACGTGATGCCTTCAGGGCCCTTCTAGCCAGGATGATCTCTGGAGTTGTCTGGGGAGAGCCTTTACCCCCCAAATGCCCATTCCATTGTTACCCCTCCCCCAGTTAACTTGGGAATTTTTTATTATCAGCATTTTAAAAATTGGAATTGCAATAAGCATCTGATCCAGGTAGAAATGAACAGGTACAAGGTCTGCCACTGAAGGGCTGGGTGACCTTGGACAAGCCACTGTCCCTGTCCGGGTCCCAGATTCCTCAGCCATAAAATAAGAGTGCTGATGGGATGATGCCCAAGGTCTATGAATTTTATTTTTATTTAAATTTTTTTTGTTTATTATTTTTGAGAAGAAAGCCAGCAGCCATGATATGCCACCATTGTGCTGAGTGCTGGGGATACAGACAAGATCCGGTCCAGTCCTATGTTCCCAGCCCTGTGCGAGACACCAGTGGTAAAGGCATTTCCAAACCCCTCAGCGTCCTACTAGAGAGGCTTCCTTTGGGGCTGCTGGGGACACTTTGTTTCTAGCTCAGATTACAGATTTATGGCTGAAGAGGACTTCCCCAGGGGCAGATTATGACATGGACTGGGCCGTCACCAACCAACTGGGAAATCAAGATAATTTAGCCATCACTATGCACCAGGCACATGTTAAGGACTTTACTTCCTTATCATTTAATCCTCAACAACCCTACCATCACTCCCATTTCACAGATGAGAAAACCGAGGCTGAGGGGGTTAAGGGACTTGTTAAGGGGCACATAGCAAGTCAGGGCCAGAGTGATACTTTAGGATCTGGCCAGTTTGCCTCTGGAGCCCAGGGTTTAACCACACCCCAGTGCTGTAGTGAAACAGCTCTGGGCAGCTCAGGCTGACCGGCCCATGGCAGAATAACCAAACAAGGGCATGGAACAGGATGGGGCACAGAGGATCTTACTGTGTGTGTGTAGTGAGCGGAGTGATGAGCCTCCACCCGTGATACACATTCACACCAACCAGATCCCAGCATTGCCCCCTCCAATCTGCCCACCCCTCTGCCTGCCACCGACTGATTGTTCTGAAATCCCATCAATCAAGTCACTCCTCAGCTCAAGACCTGTCCATGGCTCCCCAGCACCCAGAGGATAAACACCTGGCATTCAAGGCCTCTCCCAACACCACTCTCCTTGTTACCTCCTGCCACGCCCCACCTCAGCCCCCATACTCCTGTTTTAGCCACACTCCTCTCTAGTCCCCAGGCACAGTAGGCTCCTCCAGGCAGCCAAGACTTTGCACACGTGACCCTCTTGCCTGGAAAACCCAGCTCTCCCTGCTCAGTGTAGAGCTGTCTCACGAGGAGGAAAAGCCCTCCCAGGCTCCCTGAGCCCCTTGGCAGTTATCGCAATTCATTCTGGACGTCAGCCACCACTGACTCCATCTGGGATTAGGGTGGATCCCTGAGGGCGGGGAAGTTTCTGATTCACCTCCCCTCCCCCTACAGAAGCTCAGTAAGGGTTGGCTGGGTAAATAAAAAATGCAAAGAGCAGAGAATCTGGGGAAAGTACACATTTCCTAGGACTGTCCAACGCCAAGCCTTGGATGGAGACACAGCGTCAGGACACCCCTGTGTGGAAGAACCAAAAATTACACTCTCAGGGCTTATCCAGATGGTCCTTGTGTCTATCTCTTTCACGGGTTCTGTTAATGAAATCTGGGCAAGTCTCTCCCATGCTTTAAAACTTCCAATGGTTCCCAGTGGTCTAGTCTGAAATCTAAACTCAAGGGTCCAGATGACCTAGTTGCTGCCTGGTCCCCAGGCCCTTCTCCCCCCTCACCCCTTCACTGGCCGGCCTCCCTCCCTTCTTTTGGCTCCTCAAGGTCTCCCCATGCTCTGTCCTGCCTCTGAGCCTTGCCCATGCTGTTCCCTCCTTCCTTCCTCACTCAGCCTCCTCCTGCTCCCTCTTCGGGTCTCACCTTTTTCAGGGAGGGGTCCTTGATCTGCACAGACAAGATCCTACCACTCCCACCCAATCCCACATGCTCCCATAACCCAATCGTTTCCTTCATAACTGAAGAAAGAACTAATCTGGCAGTGTGTATAATGATCTACTGTAAGACCCAAGATCGTAAGACCCATGAGGGGTGGGAAAGTCTTATTCTTTGCTGATTCTCCAACACCCAGCTCAGGGCCTCCATATCTGTCAAATGAATGAATGCATGAATAAATGAATAAGTGAATGAATGAATGAACATATATATATAAAACTCAAGAACATGGTCAACAGAATCCTGGTGAACATTTGAGGCAGAAAAACTTCTGACTAAAAAGGTCAGGGAGGTAGGAAATAAATCAGACAGTGCAGCCTCCCTGAAGCAAAAATGAGGGAGTTTCTAGTAGGGATCTGATGAGCCAGAGACGCGGTACATGGAGACTTGAGGAAACACTACTGGACTTGACAATAGGGAAGGTGCTGGGGCCTCCTCGATTGAACCCAAGTTCAGTGGAGGTGGGCAAGAGGCAGGCACACTGCAGAGGACAGAGGCCTGAAGGGTGCTCAGCTGGGCCTGAGTCAACCTGGCCCTGCAGAAGTGCGGCAAGCAGAAGACAGGGTCCCTGCAGTCATTGTTATCAAAAGCGTTTACAGAGTGTAACATTCTTTGTTGACAGATCACTTTGAAACAATTCAGCTTTTGAAGTTATCTGGGATGTCTCAAAAGCAGGAGCATTGAGGAGGGCTGGCCGGTTAGCTCAGGTGGTTAAAGCGCAGCTTGTAACACCAACCTCACAGGTTCAAAGAAAAAGCAGGAGCCTCAGAACCAAGGCACAGCCCTCGATCCCCCTAACTGGGCAGCATCAGGGCTGCCCCTTTGTCAGCAGAACTCTCAGGTAGTGGCTGAAGTGGCACAAGACCCCTCTCTGGGCCCAGCAGGACTTCTTGAAATCCCTGCCTTTGAGGACAAAGCATCCTGAGGACCATCGAAAGGCCCTTTCCTCTAAGCTTTGGAAAGAGGAACAGCTCAGATTTGCGGTCGGCTCATGTCACCACCTGGAAGCCAGCTGGCTGCAGCAGATGAGTAAGACCTATATGCACCCCTCCCCTTCTCCTTTTGGCAACCAAGAATGATGTCATGAGCTGGAGGGGTGTTTTCCAGGCTCTTTGCACAACCGCTCATTAGAAATTCATGTCTGTTCTGGAGGTGGAAGCTGGGTAATTCCCCCTAGTACTGATCTTCTGTTTCACAGCTCACAAAGCCCTTTGGCATCTATGCACTCATTTGGCCCTCATGACAAGCTTGTTAGGTGGGTAGTGGGGAGACTGATGCACCTGTCTTACAGGCCTAGAGACTGAGGCTCAAGCTGGGAGGTGAACCAGGCTCCTGGCTTCCAGCCCAGGACTGTGCACTTCTCCGCCTGCCTCCCCGCCTACTTCAGCAGGTCACCTGTGAATCTGATAGTCAGGTGGGCCCCACCCTACCCGCCCTCCTGGTGTACCCATCCCGGTGACTCATCCACCTTGGCCATGACTCACACTTCTCAGGTGCTCCTCCTATGGTCAACAAGCCTGGAGACTTGGCAGCTGCCCCTAGCTTTTCCCATCTCTCCAACGCCTCCGGAGAGAATTCCTGCACCTCCTCTTCATGGGGTGTCTACCCATCTACAGAGGCGCTAACAGAGGCCTTGAGAGGGAAAGCAGCTGTCCTAAAGTCACACAGCAAGCAAGCAGCACAGCCAAGGTCCTCGCCTCTTCCCCACAGGATCACCCTTGCCTGGCCTCACCTCTCAAGGGTGGGTGAGGAGCTGATGAGGAGGCAGAAATGCTCTCTGAGCCTTATTAGGGAAACCTCAGGCACTCCCTTTGGATCTGCTGGGGCTACCAGCAGCTGCTTCCACCTCTGGAGTCCCCCCAGACTCCCCTGGGTGGCCAGGGCTGGGTTTAGGAGGAGGATGGGTGTCTGTGTTGTTTACCTACCTCACAGGGCTGCACAGGGTGAAGAGAGCTGCTCCGTGGGGAGGCCGGGACCAAGGCCGAAGCACTGGACAATGGGAGTTACTGGCACCACCTGTAAACAAAGGGCCCAGGAATCTCAGCGTCAGGAGGCTTAAAGATCTTCTGTTCAAATCTCCATTTGATGTTTCAACTCCTTCCCTCCCCGAGCTTGCACACCTCCAGCAATGGGACACTCACTTCCTAAACAGGCTGCAAGCTTAAAGGAACTGTCTTTAGGATGTGCCAAAATCTCTCTCTCCTTTCGCCTTGTGCCTGCTGGTCCTAGCTCTGCCCTCTGGGGTCACCCGGAACAGGTCTGTCTGCCTGTTTCCTGAAGGCTCTTTGGAGACTTGAAGATAGTGATCCTGGGTCCCTCAAGTCTCCTACAAGTTGTGCACCCCCTTTCCTCCAGCTCTTCCTGAGACCAGAGTGTCTGGTTTCTTCATGCTCTTCCCTGGTTGCTCTAGATGAACCCTGTCGCTACTGACAGCACAAATCCCAGAATTAGACACTCAGACAAGCTCTACCTCTAGAGCAGGCAAGCAGGACTCTCACCTCCACCATTCTAGATATCATGCCTCTATTAATACAGCCTAAAATCCATTAGCATTTAAAGCGGCCCCATTGCATGGCTGAATCCAGTTTACAGTCGACCTTAGAGCTGTGGTCCAGGACAATGGAGTTATACAAACTGGCCCCTCACTTAACCAACAATGAAACTTGAGCAAGCTACATCACCTGTTGGAGTCTCAGTTTCCTTCTCTGTTCAAGGTGGATAATATTAGAACCTACCTCACTGTGAGGATTAAATGAGATAAAACATATCAAAGGTTTTGCACAGTGCATGTGTTTACCCTGATTATTACTCTAATTATTGATCATTAAATGCGTAAGTCTTCTTCCTATACATTGTGTCTTTCTTATCCTGCACATATGCAGTCTGCGGACCCAAGCTATTAACACGTCACACTCCCACCTCTATGACCAAGCATTACACTGTTATTGTTCCATTGCTCTTTTACTGAGCGAGATTACACCATCATTGTTCGGTGAGGGATCTTTCTCTCCCAATGGGCTGTAAGCTCCTTGGAGGCAAGCGTTCTGTCTGAGTCATCTCTGGAGCTGTGGCCCAGCACATCACCTGGCAAACAGCAGGACCAATGGGTGTAT